AACAACTGTTAAGCTCGTATTGTGGAGCACATTTAGATGAACCTTACTACAAAGAATCAAACATTTCTGATAGAAATTGGTTGAGATATCTTTTTTCATCATATTTGATCAAAATTTGTTTGAGTGTATGACATCATCACTTGGCTAATTTGCATATTTAATAAACTTGATTATCTCTGGAATGAAAAGAGATATTTGAAAATAGTAAACAGCATTTTTCTTCTCATACAGGCTACTTAATTATGTTTAAAAATGGCTTCAATAGGAAAGATGCAATTTTCGTCATAGTACCACTTTAAACTACATGGTAAATGGTATCATAAAAATCACTTTTGGTATGTTTTTAATAACAAAATCGTCACAACATGCCACACTTTTAGCGTCCCTGACAGCTCTCCTCTCGCTTAGCAAAAATACAGTCTACATAGATTTTCCTCACAGCCAAAAACTAATCATGTGTTGAATAGGCTTGCCACTTCCATTTCATAACATAAAATGTACTGGTAATCACCCATTTTCAAAAGTTAAATGAGTTGTTTTCATCCTTTCAAAACCTTTGTCGGTGCCCATTACATTAAGTAGTACTGGTAAGTCAAACACTGACATCTCTTGCACTTATTTTGCACGCACATTATGCCATCTACAGTTGGATTTCAGTATCATTTTTTTACAGATAGGATTTTCAGCTGGAAGCTGTTTAACAGTTAGTGGTTAGCAATAGGCTGTTTTTCTGGTGTTCCTGGTTTTAGCACAGGTTTTAGTACATTTGCTTGACTCGAATAATGGGTTTTTATCCGAGTTTATAACATTTTCTTTGTATGACAAATTGTCAAAAAATGTCCCCCAAAATGGCTGCTGAAAGCCCTCTCTGAGGGGCAAAACCAAGATGGTTGCCCCAGTGCTAAAATACAAATCGAATTGAACTGAAAGTTATGTTTTTGTGAACCACCTATCTAGACCATTCATCTGAGAAAGCTTGAGGAATTTTGCTTTTTTCTTGTCCAAATGACCATAGTTGGTGTTTATAGAGGGTGGCTCTTAAGCAGCCAACCCTTATTAGGTGGCCACCTCCCATTGCCCCCAAGGGTGGCCACTCAATAGGGGTTTGACTGTAGTAAGAAAATGCCACATTTGTCAGTAACATCCCTAAGTGATGATGATGATGACGATGATGATGACGACGACGACGATGATGATAATTAATAATAATAATAATTATAATTATACATTTATATAGTGCTACTACTATGAAATATTCAAAAGCACTTTACATAAAAAGAAGCAACAGGGCTCGAAATTAACTTTTTCGTTCAGGAGCCAGCTGGCGACTAACAGAAAAATTTTGGTCGCCAGATCATAAATTTTGGTCGCCAACTTATTTTATATAATTATAACTTACACAAGAACACGATTTTATACGTTACTTTGCATGCAAGAAAAGTCACAATTGAAGAGCGAAAACAATTAAAAACAACACGAGTAACACTTAGTTATAAAGCTACTGTTGTTCTCAGGTGATATGTCTCTAGTCCGAAGGTGATGGTTGTCTCCATAGTCATTTTGAACGAAGCGAAGCATAAAACGTTT